GGGGCCAAGCCCGCGGTGTGCAAGCATTGGCTGCGAGGGCTCTGCCGGAGGGGCGAAGGCTGCGACTTCCTGCACGACTACGATGCCACCAGGACGCCCGAGTGCTATTTCTACTCCAAGTTCGGTAGGTGCGGGGCTGGGCATCCCAAGGAGCCTCTTCCCACGCCTCTCATCCCTCGGGGCTGGCCTCGAGCGAGCGGCTGATGCCACCTCCTGCCTGCGGGAAGAAGTGTCACTGTCGCGCAGCCGGGGTCACTGTCCCCACGCCCAGCCGAACCCGGCTGTTCCCAAGGCATCCCAATTCCCTTCACCCAGCCCACCCCTGAGCGATTCCCGCTGCGAGCGAGCCCTGTCCCGAATGTCCCACGCCTCGCTCCCGCAGGTGAGTGCAGCAACAAGGACTGTCCCTTCCTGCACGTCGGTGCCACCGCCAGCGCCCTGGGCTGTCCCTGGTACGACCGTGGCTTCTGCAGGCACGGTGAGCTGGGACGGGGCAGGTGCCCACGGCCCGGTGGGCATTTGGGCTCGGGGCTGCAGGGAGAGCAGAGCTCCCACCATGCTGGGGTGATGGCGTGTCCCTGTGAGTGTCCCCTCTGCCTGGCAGGTCCCCTGTGCAAGTACAAGCACACGAGGAGGGTGATGTGTGCCAACTACCTGGTGGGCTTCTGCCCGGAGGGACCCAAGTGCAAATTCGTGCAGTACGTACTGGGGGTGGGGGGGCTTGGAATGTGGTTTGGAGGGGTAAAATTCCCTCTCTGAGGTGGCTGTGGCCCTTGCAGGGTCCAGGACAAGGACACAAAGGGTCTCAATTAACCTAACCCCACACCCAAGCTGTGCTGCTGGCAGCAGGGGCAGCGGTGGGTGGGCAGGGGACAGCCCTGGTCCCCACGGAGGTGCCTGTACCAGCTGCAGGACATCCCTGAGGGGCTGTGGGAGCCTCAGGAAGGTCTGGGGACACCCCAGGGAGTAACTGCCTGTCCTCTGTGTCCCCTGCAGCCTCAAGGCCGGGCTGATGACGCGCAGCACAGACCCACCCAAGGTGAAGCTGTTGTCCCTGTGCCCACAGGGATGGTACCCCAGCTGCCCCCAGCTCCTGTGGGGCAGCAGCTGCCAACTGCCCCCCCTGCCCCTTTTCCCCCAGGAAGCTGGATGTCCATGGGGGCTGGTACAGCGGGATCTGGCTGCTGCAGAGGAGAGGGGAGGTGAGCATGTGCCACCCAAGGAGCCACCTCCACGTGGCACCCAGAACCAGGCAGCTCGTCTGTGGGACAGCAGTGGCTGCTCCCCGAGCCCACAGAGCCTGCTGGAAGGAGGCACCTGCTCCAAGGTGAGAGATTTTGGGGAATGGGAGGGCTGGGAGCAGCAGTCTCACCGTGGAGGGAGGATGAGGGGCAGAAGGTGCTGTGGGGATTCTCAGAGTGCTCCCAAAACAGCCTCTTTGACTGGAGATGTGTCTTTTCCTTGTGGTCCCCTTGGAGCTGGGGTGGGAACCAGCAGGGGAAGGGATTTTGGTGGTGAGAACCCTGGGAACAACAAATCCTTCTGCTCAGAGGTTTGGTGTAGTTGGAACTCTCGGGGTGCTGTTTCCATGATCCCATTCCTTTGGAAAGGGGGTCAAATCGAACATGTGGGGACGTGGCAGGGGCTGATCCAGCACAAACCCATTCCCTGTGCCCCCAGAGCGGATCAGCCAGTCCCTGTGCCAGCAAGAGAGGGAGGACTCCACTGGAAATGCTGCTGGGGAAGTGACTCCAGTGCTGCCACACGGCTCAGGGGACGGGGACACGACGGGACACCACGGACACGGCACCGGGGCAGCCCCTGGGCTAGGAAAGCCAGCAGGGTCTGCCCAGCACCAGCTCACAGCTGGCACAGGCAGCACAGAAATCACTTCATGCAATGAAAACCGGGACTTGCCACAGCTGGCTGCTCCCCCTGGCACTGCCAGCTGTGGGCAGGCCGGGGCAACAGCAGCATTCCCAAGGTTTGGAGGGGTGCAGGACTGGCTGGTGCCAGCATCCTGGGCACAGGGGTGAGGATGTGCTCATCCCTTGGGGAGGGGGCACAAAACACCACTTTTCAGATCACAACCCTAGCAGGAAAGCAAAATCCACACAGGTTTTTATTGCTGGTGAGAGTTTTTGGTGCAACACCTCTGTCACAGCACTACTACACTCTGCAGAATAAAGAGCTCAGACTTTTTAATTCTTGACTGTTTTTTTGCCCTTCATGCTTGCAACATGAGCAACCCTTTCCCAGACATGTCTGGGAATGGCAGGCTCCAACTAGCACTCCTGGCTGCCCTGGTTTGCCTGCTGCAGGCACAGCTTTGCCCTTTGGGCACAACAGCTCATCCCACGGATTTGTCTTCCCCAGAATTAGGGAATTAGGGTGCTGTGGTCTGAGCTGCTGCTCCAGTGCCTTCACACAGGTCCTGGCCAGTCCCACCAGTACAAGGGGCGAGTACAAACTGGGTTGGGCCGGGCAGAGCTCTGAATTTAAAGGGAATGGTTCTTGGGGTTGAAGCCCACACAGCTACAGCGGAATTGTGAAATCATCCCTAATGACAGCTCAGGACAAGGTGCTGTCCCCTGCCCCAAACAGAGGAGGCTGCTCTGGGACTCTCCTGCCTCCAGAAGCTCTCCTGCCCCCACAGATCTCTCGGGGTGCCTCTAACGCTTTCTCATTTCACAAAGAAAAGCTGCCTGACCAGGAGGGGTGGCCACATGCTGTCCCTGTCACCTCTCTGCTACACAAGCCGACCTGCAAAGGGGCTCCTCCTCAGCTCCAGCCCCAGCCAGGCCCCTGCTGCTGGGAATTCCTGCTGGGATCCTGGTCCTGGGTGCTCTGCTGCCTCCCCAAGAGCTGGGGCTGTTCCCTGGGTGCTGCTCCAGCTCCTTCAGTGGTATTTTCGCCAGCGATGTTGCTCTGGAAGAACAGGGAGAAAATCATTCCAGTGTCAGCAGAGGGATCTGTTTGGGGGCTCCAGCTGGCGTGAGGAGCCCGACTGCAGCTTCTGTGTTTGTGTGCTGCCAGGGGGAACCACCCAAACAGCAGCAGATCCCTTGTCATCTGTCGCAGATCCCTTGTCATCTGTCAGGAAACGCAGCTCCTGTTGGAACATCTCCTCCCTCTGCCCTGTGTGGGCTTTTCAAAGTGCTCCTGACAATGCTGCTGCTCTCCAGGGAGAAGCTGTGAGTCAGCAACTGCTATCAGCACTTTTATTAACCAAATTCCTCTGCCCACCTAGAGAATCCTGCTCTCTGAGCTCTGGTATTAAGCCTTAAATGGGGAGTGTTTAAATAATTTAATTATTTCAGTTATTCCGGAGCTTTAATTAACAGGAATGTTAAATAGACTTTCCAAGTGTTGCAGAAGGAAGAACTCCTGAAATAGGAAGTCTTACTGAGGTGCTGATAGTTCCAGCCATAGCTGAGCAGGCAGTACCCAGCCAGGAGCATGGAGATTCCAGCAGGTCCTCCCTGCTTCACGTGGATGTATTTGGCACAATAACTGCCCCAGGCTGTTGGGAGAGAAAGGAGAGGGATAAATCATGGGCTGCTCTTGGGAATTCACTGCTTCTCTGCAACTTTACAGAGCTAAAATGTTGGGGATATTTGTTTATCCCAGGGATAGATGAGATGTTGGGATGATGGATGGGAAGGAATTGTTCCTTGTAAGGGAGGGCAGGCACTGCACAGGGTGCCCAGAGGAGCTGTGGCTGCCCCTGGATCCCTGGCAGTGCCCAAGGCCAGGCTGGATGGAGTTTGGAGCCAGCTGGGACAGTGGGGACATCTTTATGGACCACTGGATCATCTTTATGGTCCCTCCTGGACCCTTCCATCATTCCATGACTTGTGCTTTGTAAAGATCCAGGCTGGCTACTTGGCCCAGCAGAGTAAATCAGGGAGGTGGGATGGACCTGCCCCAAAAGCCAGGAATTCTCACCTCTCTGCACTGCTGCCAGCAGCCCCTGGGGAGAGAAGCTGCAGGTGCTGATCCAGGAGTGCAGCTCGCCCAGCCTCACCTCCATCAGGGGCCTCTCCGAGAGGGGACCTGCAGGGTGACAAACAGTCACAGCGGGGCTCTGTGCTGCCAGGGGAGCAGGGAGCTGGGATGGGATGTGGGATTTGGGCTTGGAAAAGGACAGGGAATCGCCTCTCCCACCAAGTTTGGGCTGCATCAGCCCAAGGCTCCATAATCACATCACACGTGGACTTTGCAGGCTGGAGGAGGCGCAGTGAAACCTCCTTGGATTCTCCTGGACCCTTCCCTGGGCAAGCCCAGCATTCCCTACCCCTTCTCTGCCATTCCAGCACATCCCAGCAGGGCGATTTTCGTTACCTTGCTGCCCCTGTGCCAAGCCACCCTTGGGTGTCTCCGCCGTGATCCTCACATCCTCGTGGAAACGCTTCCCTGGAAAAATCCTCAGCCCTTCCCAATCGGGATACAAGTCCGGAAACCACTCCAAGCCCGCGGCGCCGGCCCTGGCGCTGCTGCCCGAGGCGTGCCCCGAGCAGGGCCGCTGGGTTTGGGGCGTGTGGAGCAGAGGCAGCTGCGGGGCTGTGCCCGGGCTCGGGACGGGCTCGGCCACTCGCTCCCCGCCGGCCCGCGGCCCCCGCAGGCCGAGCTCATTTCTGAACGTCCCCCGACCGCCAGCTCCGAGCGCCAGGGACAGATGGAGCGTCCCGGGATGCAAAGCACCCGCGGGGGGGTCAGATCCCGCCCCAACTTCCAGGCGCACCCGCTCGCCCCCTGTCCCAAATTTGTCTCTTCCCTCCTGCTGGACGAGGTCACCGGGGCTGTTGGTGCTGCCAGCGGGTTCTTGAAGTGTCTTTGCTGCCGTCAAGCTGCTTTCTTTTCCCTTGGAGCTGCCAGTCGCGCTCCCCAGGGCTGCCCGGCTCCGCGTCTCCTTGCTCTTGGATTTTGGGGCGGTTTCGCGGCGCTGCGGGTGGGGAGCGGGGCCGGGCTCCGTCCCTTCCCCGCGGCTCCGCGGCTCCTTCTCCCGGACCACCCGGGCTCGGTGCTTCTCGATCACCACCTTCACCCCCTTCTGCAGCTTCCTGGGCACGTCCCGCACCTCCTCGGGCCGCAGGTCCAGGCTCCGGGCCACGTCCCGCACCGCGCGGGAGCCGCTCCTTGCACCGGGGCCGCTGCCGGGGGCCGGGCGGGGACCCGGGGCCGGGCTGGGAAGGGGCGGCGCGGCGCTGCCGGGGGCCGGGGCTGCCCGGCAGTGCGGGAGGTGCGCGCGGAGCCGCTTGAAGGGCCGCCGGCAGTGCGGGCACAGCTCCAGCCCCGCTCCCGCGGCCGGCCCCGCCGCCGCCATCGCCGCCCGGCCCCCCGTGACGTCACAACGCCGCGCCTCCCGCCGCCGCCGTCACAGAGGCGCGGCCCCGCCCCCGGGCGCGCGCCGTGACGTCACGGGCGAGGCGGCGGAAGCGGCGGTCGGGCCGGGCCGGGCCGCGCTGCCGCCGCCGCTCCCCGCGGCCTCCGCCCCGCGCCGCTCCGGCCCGCCCCGGGCCGCGCTCCCGCCCGCCATGAGCTGCCGGCAGCCGCTGCCCAGCGAGCGGGGAGCCAGACAGAGGTGCGGAGGGCCTGGGGGGGAAGGAGCGGCCGCGCTGAGGGGAGGGAGCCCGGCCGCTCGGGGCAGCCCCGGGGGCGGGGAGGGGAGAGCGGGCCCCGAGCGCTCGGAGGGTTCCGTGGGGCTGCGGGGGATTCGGGGGAGATTCTCGGCGGAAGCTGAGGGGCGGCGGAGCGGGGGGAGCTGGGGGATGCTGCGGTCAGGGAATGCGGTGGAAGGGACCCTAAAGGCCGTCCTGTATCGCCCCTGCCACGGGCACGGACACCTTCCATGGCCCAGCGCGCCCCGAGCCCCTCCGGGCTGCCGAGGTCACTGCAGGGGTTGAAAGGAGGGATCCAGAGGCAGCGTGGGGGAAATCAGGAATAGCCCTTCCCCAGCGCTCCCGGGCAGATGGGCAGCGAGCGATCCCAGCGATGGGGAGCAGGGAGGCAGCTCGGGCTGTAGGCGTGGGCCAAACCCCGGCAGCTGAGGCTGCTGCACGGAAAGGAGCCAGTTATAAATACCTCCCTCCAGTCTGTTTTGACTCATTCGAGCACGGATTAATTTTAGGCACACCAAAACAGCTCCGTGCCGTGTTTTTTTGGAGGCTGCTGAGATCCTGGCTGACTTGTCGTGTTTGTAGGGCGGGGAGGAATCGTTTGATGTTTGTGTAGGAATTCTGGGATGCTGCTGGGGAGCAGCTGCGCTGTGTTGGTGTCACAGAATCGCACAGTGGCGGGGGTCAGAAGTGACCCAGCTCATCCAGTGCCACCCCCACCACGGGCAGGGACACCTCCTACTGTCCCAGGCTGTTCCAGGTCCTGTCCAGCTTGGGCTTTGAGGTCTTCCCTTTATCTCCTCGAATCTGGGAGCATTAGCACTGCCCCCACCCCATTATACTCCTCCAAACTCTGCTTGGCTTCGATGCCCGCAAAGATTTGGATGGAAATTAGGTTAAAGCTTGTACTCACCATGCCAGACAGTGCAGTGTCACCAGAGGATGGTAAACACATCAGAAACAGGGAGGAGTTTGTTTTCATGAGGTGTTTCCTGACAAAACCTTATTCCCGCATGGGAAATGTGATTGTTATGGAGTGTGACTCAACTCCAAACACTGTCAGAGTGGAGAGAATCATTGTGGGGTGGTGTGAGCAGGTGAATAATTGGAGATTGGCTGGGCTGTCCCCAGCCTGTCAGGTGTCACTCTGAGCCCAGGGATTATTTTTATATCTGCAAAGTTGGCAATTGTTAAATGAGTTTGGCTTTAATCCATGTCCCTTATAGTGGCAGGAAACATCTTGTGAGGAACAAGATCCTTTTCTCTGTGCCCTCAGGCTGCAGCTAAAAGGGGAATATGGGAGCCCCCAGCAGCTCAGGGGGCTGGAGACATCCTGCATTCATTTATCAGGCGTTCCTGCCTTTTTTGGGTGCCTTCAGAGGACGAAGCAGAAGGTGGATCAGTGAGCTGATCATTTCTTTTCCCTGCAGGAAGAGGAGGAGGAATGGCAATGAAGATGATGGCCACGTTCCCCAGACCAAACGTAGCAGCAGGAGCACTGTCCTGCAGGACTCGTGGGACACTGAGGTGAGAGCCTTCCCAGGCAAACCCATTCTGCATTCCAGCAGCAGCTGCAATATCCTGTGCTTTTTTTTTTTTGCATTTTGATTTCTTAGCTTTGTGTTTGAGGTCGTGAGGTTTGACTCGGTGACATCAGAGATAGAAATCAGTTTGGAAAAATCAGTATTCCCAGTGAGCCTGCTTATCCCTGGCCTGAATATTTCTGGGAAGAAACTTCAAATCCTGCCTCACAGCACCCAGGGAAATGATTTCCTGCTTTTTGTTTTTGCTGTGTGGGCTGGGCTGTGCCCAGAGCTGAGGGGCTGTGAGGGTGGATGTGTTCCTGTGCTCACTCTGCCTGACCATCAACTTTGCCTTTCCCCACAGTGAGCTGATTATTTGTGGGAGAAAGACAAAACACATTCCAGGCAGGCCTTATCTGATGTGGAATAAAATGCCCTAATAGAGCTGCTCAGTTTAAGCAAGACTTGTTCACAGCTAAATCAGACTCAAAACTCATTGTTATTTTCTCATATTTTCCATTATTTCTTTGCTGGATGTGGGATAAACTCTTGTTTTCTTACCCCTCACCAGACAGCTGTTCTCTCTGTGCAATTTGAGATTTAATTTCTTAGAAAAAAATAATTTAAATTGCTGATTTCCCAAGTGCTGCCAGATTTTCTGAGATGTTACCTGGGTGAATCACCTGAAAATTCACTGTGAGCAATGTCCTTGTGTTGTAAAACATGCATGGAAAAGAGGGTACAGAGCAGAGGCTTCCTCTCTGAAGTTAATGAAATTAATTTCTTTGAAGGTTTTGGAAGTATCCTCGGTTTTTTAAAGCCTCCTCACTTTGAAGGTGGATTGTAATGAGCAGTTACAGTCTGAATTATTATGGAATTAACTCAATTATTCAACTGTTAGCTGTACTTTGCAGAAAACATTTAGTTGCTGTGCAACTTGGAGCTCTTTTATAATCTGGAAATGGTTTCTGATGGCTACTTCTACATTCCTGTTGTGAGAGTGACTCTCTCTTAGCCTGGACAAGTAGGGTACGTGACAGGACACTGCTGGAAATGCTCTAAGAGCTGCTGTCTGTCACGAAGGAATCCTCTGGGATGGAACCTGCCCCGTGCTGCTGTGTTCTCAGGAGGGAGACTTTGCAATTTTTGGGGTGTGCTGGGGAGCAGCAGCGCTGGTTTGCTGCTGTCTGACACTGAATCACTTGTCCAACAGGTCAGAGCCCTCCGTGCGCGTAGGGTAGTTACAGGCTAAAGCAGCTTTGTGGCGGGAGGAGGACGGATTTAGTGTGGAACAAGGGATTGAAGTGGGAGTAATGAAATTAAGGATATCAGGAGAACCCCCCGATGGTGAGTGGCAGAAGCACCTTTGCTTGTCGTGTAAACACCCGGAGTTTGGGCAGAGCCACTGAAAGCAGGGCTGGCAGTGGCCACACAGCAGGGTGACATCAACCCTGGCCTGGTTTCCTGCGGGGGAGCATGGCTGACCCAGGGCAAGGTCACTGCTCAGCCTAACACAGACTCTGCTTCTTGCATGCACTTGCCTGGTAAAATCTGGTTTTAACACTTTAAAGCTGGTGTGAGGCGGGGAGGAGCTCTCACTGCTGAGGAGTGTGGACACAGCTTCTCAAACAGCACGGGAACAGAATTCCCAGTGTTTTCTCCTGATGAATGGAGCTTTTTCTTTTTGTTTTTTTGGCTTGTTTTCTTGTCGGATCCCTCAGCTGAGCATGCCCAGAAATTCAAGACACGAGATTAAATCTGTTTTATTCCAACATTTGGTTAAGGACTTCCTGTGCCAAAGGGAGAAATCCTTGTGCTCAATGTGCACGAGTGCTTCCGATTGGTGCCGCTTGGAAAGTCTCAGCCAGTTTGCAACGCTTGGATTTAGCTTCCTGATACTTTGCTGTGTGCAAAGACACCTCTTGCTGGTTAAAGATCCCCACTTGTTTTGGGATATTGCCTGGGAAAGGGGAATGGGAGCAATCTGTGACTTCCAAGAGCCAAGTGAGAGTCGCTTTTCATCACCAAGCATCGCACACCTGCTTTTTGTGAAACATTACCCAAAGTCCTGATTCCTCTGGCATGTTTTGGTTCAAACTGACTGTTCCCTCTGGCCAGAACAGGCCTCTTTGAGAACACAGCCTCGGGATGGCAATAAAGCAGTGTTTTAAACTTGATGGCAATCAAGCAGTGTTTTAAACTTGATGGTAATCAAGCAGTGTTTTTTGCCAGGATCTCTTCCCTTTTTTTTTTTGTCTTCCGTGTTTTGCTCTGGAGAATGAGGTGAAGGGAGGTTTTTCCTTAGTGGCAGTTCAAACCTGGGCTCTTCTGTGATGTTATCCCTCAGTCCCTGACTTTGAGTCCCACTGCTCATCCAAATCACATCCAATTCCAAAGGATTTGCTGTTTTCTCCTTCTGGATTCCTTTTACCCAGGACAGGCAGCACCCCTGACTTCTGACTTTCACAGGATGGAAACAGAGTCTCTTCAGTCTCCATCAGTGCAGCTTTCTGGCCAGTTGCTGTGAGGATGTGCCATTCCTGGTGCTCCTGGAGAAGCCACTCACAGGGTACAGCCACCCTGAGGGTGACAGAACCCTCAGGCCTGGGCTCAGTCCGTGGGCAGGCACAGCCACGGGGCTGCAGCTGCAGCCAGGGTTAAACATTAGCGAGGCAGAGCCTTTGCCACAGAATTTCACTTCCTGTTCAGCCTGTCCTCCCTTTTCCAGGTCAGCTGTGGTGTTTGCCCTGTATTGGGTTAGAAATCCATTGCTTGTCCCCACATCTAACCAGGAGAAGCTGTAGTGGATCCTCCAAGGGGACCCCCCTCTTGGGAATGCTGAGGTTCTGCAGCCTGGGGAATCACCAGTGCAAACCCTTTGCTCTCGTTTCTCCAGGGAAGGAAGCGAGTCTGAGTGTTCTGGCTGACCCTTTCCTTCCTGAACAACTTCTGCAAACCCCAATTTCTCATAGTTCGTCTTTGTTCTGGCCAGGATTGAAACACTGCCGGGTTCTTGGCAAAGATCAAATCAAAGTTCTTGTCCCCCACTATCCAGGGAAGGACTGCTCTTCAGTTCTAACTAAAACCAGATCGTGGCTTTGTTAAACTCCTCTTGGAAGGTGTTGAGAGTAGCAGGGGCTGAGTGGCTTTTTCTCCAGTTCCTGTCCCAAGGGATTGTCCCAGATCTACACATTTAACAGGACATTTGTTTTAAAACTTGAAGTGTGATGTTAAGGGTTAATGAGCCCAGTAAACCTTGAAGATGCCCTTTTGATAGTTAAAGCATTCATAAATATCACCGGGCTGCTTTCCTTTGCCCCTGTAAAGCTTTGTTGATGCCTGTCTTGCTGACTTGATGACTTTAAGGATTCTTTTCTTGTCTGATTGTAGTCCAAATGCGTTACAGAATGTGCACCACAGCCTGGGGACACGGTAGGTGTTCCGTGTGATGGAGGGTGAGCCAGTGCTAGTGAACCTTTGCCTTGGAGAACTGGAAATAAAGAGGGTCTGACAAACCCCATCTGTCACCAGCCTGAGGTGTCAGAAGCACGTCCCAGGACACACTGCCAGCTTTGAGATGCACAAAATAATCACTGCTAACAGCTGGAGAATATTCGTTGGGATGTGAAACGGCAGCAGCGAGCGGGGCCAGGTTCTGATTTGGATTTTTACCTTGATTTGCAGAAGGTGGCTGTAACGAAGCTCACTAAGGAGCGCAGACTAAAAGGAAACAAAGTGCCCTGTGCGGTGGGTTTCTCTCCGAGGCTGCCTGACCCCTCAGCATCGCGGGTGACTCTTTGTGCTGCTCTGCACCACCCCACTCCTCCCTGTCCTGCGGGGCTCTCTCCCTCTCTAGATGCAGGAAGAGGAGCTGGTTGCTCCCGCGGTTCCATCTCTGCTCCCTCGGCAATGACCCCGCTGTGTGTTTCTCTCTCCTCGCAGCCCGGGGCCCTGGGCTTGGCTTGCTGTGCTCGCAGGGAGCTGAAGGGATTGTGGTGCTTAGCGAAACAAAGGGGTTTGTCAGGGTTGGATGGTCAGGATCGATGGTGGATCGGGGCCGGGGGAGGGGAGGGTTGTGTTGTGTTCCACCCAAACATCCACAGTGCCTCCCCGGGCTCTGCACAGCTGCTGGTTTGCACCATTCCTGATTTATTCCAAACACACTGCTGGGTGCCGTTTGCACCATTCCTGATTTACTCCAGGTAAGGAGGCCCTTCTGGAAGTGCTGCTGACTGGTAAATCCCTGAGGATTTAGTGAAATCTGTCCTCTTCTGATATGGTCACAAAGCTGTGACTTTGTGGCTTAATCCTTACAAAAATATCGATTTTTCTTTAGCTGCTGTCACTTACTCTGTCTGCTTTTATGAATCATTTATGGGGTGGCAGAGTAGCCACTTGCTGATTGACTCACCCAAATATTTGCAGTCCTGACCAGCAGATCACACAAACTAAAACTGGAACTAATGGAACGTTTCCTTAGCAGCCCTTAAAATGGTGTTTTATGTCTTTGAATCCCTTATGGTGATGACAAATGCTCTTCCAGCCATTCCCTTGAAATGTGGTTGTCCTAAATGCTGGCAAATGAGCCCTGGCCTCTTATCCCAGTCAAATGCTGGGTTGTCTTTCCTGCATGAGCAATTCCTCAGTGCCTGTTGCTCTTTCACTGCCAAATCAAGTAAATTGGTGTGGAATTGCTATGGAGCACTTCCAGTTAACTGCCATGGAGTGCTTAACTGGGAGAGGAGTACTTGATGGTGGTGTTCAAAGACTTCAGCTGGGTGTTGTGTGCGTTTGTTTCTCACAGCCTCTTGCTTTGGATGCTTCAGATCTCACTTTAGGATTGCCTTGTAGGAAAGTGCTTTGCATGGTGCTTCCCTCAAACCTCTGCAAGAACAGAAGTGCCAACCCTGCCCTGCCTGCCTGCACTGACACTGCAGCTCCCTGGGAATGTTCTTTATTTTCCAATTCTCTGATCACCCCAGCAAACTTCACTAGTGCAAACGTGGGGTTGGGGGCAGAGCTGAGGGGTTTAACTGGGGAGGATTGAAATCCAACGCCCTGGAGGTCACTGAACCCCGGGTGAAGGCTTGTCCCTTCAGCTCTGTCACACTGGTGTGGGCAACAACAACCTCTCCGTGCCAAGGTGGATTTATTCAGTCCATCGGGCTGGAAACGTGGAGGGAGGGATTTATGCTAAAGGCTTGCTTCTGCGGGGTGAGGAAGCAGTGTCTGATGTTGCTGTTCACCTCTGTGTGTCCCAGTCCTCCAGCAGTGACAGTGGGAGCAGCAGCAGCAGCAGCAGCTGTAGCAGCAGCAGCATCAACAGCCCCGACAGAGGAGAGTCCAGCCTCAACCCCAGGATTGCAGGATCCAGCCCTGTCTCCTCCCAGCCTTTCCATGAGCAGTCTGCACTAAGCCAAGGTCCTTACTTCCACATCAACCAGATCCTGAAGGAAGCCCACTTCCACAGCCTACAGAGCCGGGGACGCCTCCCTACATGATGATCCAGCAGCTCCCTGCCTTCTGTGAAGGGACAGCACTGTGTAGATTTGATATTTCAACTTCAAAGTTTGTTAAAATGGAATTGCACAAAATTGCCTGTTGCCTTTTCAGTCTATATTTGAAATAACAGGTTAACAGGAGATTGTTTACTTGTGGTTTGCTGCACTATTGCAATGCAAAAGGGGCTTTGAAGCAATTTTTATAGGATTCTTTTTGGTTGGTTCTGAAGTACGTGGCAAGAGGAGACTGAGGAGTCCACATGTGTGTTATAGGATTGCAAACTGTCCAATTCCAATCGACTGCCTAATCTGTTTGTTAGCAAGTTGTTGCTTTCTGTAAAGTTCTCTTAAGCGTTCCTCTTCAGTTTTATAAGTCTTTTTTTAATTTCAATAAACTAGTTAAAAAATGATTTGGCAACATAATTTTTTGAGCATTCAGAGTTAGCAAGAATAGGAGCAGCGAGTGCAGGTCCTTAGGCCTGTGAGCCCAGCTCAGGGTGATGAGTCGTCTCTCATGAGCTTCACTGCTGCAGGAGTGGAAGGGAAATGTGAAATTAGAGCCAGGACAGGTCGGGCAGGTGCTGCAGGGGCCACTCAGAGCAGGGTGGTGGTGCCTGGAGGACACAGCTGTCCTACCCTGCTCCAGCACCCCTCTCCAGCTGTGAAATGGTTTGTTTTCTGTTAGTGTGTAGGTTGTTTTGGCTTTTTTTTTTTTTTCCTTTAATTTTACTTTAACAATGTAAGAATAAGAGGTGAAAGAGCAGCTCCACCTCTGTTCCAGCAGCCAGGGGACAAGGACAATCCAAGCTGTGCCCGGTTCCCGTGACACGCGGATGGGAAGCACTGCCAATCCCGGAGGTGTCACCAAGGGGACAGACAGACAGATCTCAGTGAAGACAAACCCAGAGCAGTTTTATTGTTGCTGCCTCACTTGCTCATGCCCGAGAGCCAGCCCAGCCTGAAGAGGGACGGTGCCGCCGTGTCCTCGTCGTCGGTGACGAGCTGCCGGAACAGGGAGCCCGGCCGAGCCGCCTCGTCCTCCCTGGGCAGCACGGCAGCAGCAGCCACTCCCTGGGGGTGACAAAATGACTCTCACAGCACCCCCGGGCTCCCTCCGTCCCCCCAGCACTGCTGGGGCAGTGACAGACACACACCTCGCTGCTGGCAGCAACAGGCACTTGGCAGATGTCACTCGATGCTCCTAAAACCCCTGAACACCCATCAAAACCCTCTGAGCAGCAGGGCAGGGGCTGCTGCTCTCAGAGCAAGGGATCACAGCGTGGTGGAAGCACAGCTGGTGCCCTTGCAGGAGCTGTTCTTGGAGAACTGCGGATTTTAACCTCTCCAGAAGAGTTTTAGCATTGAAGAAGGAGCAAGCATCTGTCAGGGATCCTGGCAAGTGTGGCTAGCACAGGACATGGGTGTGCTGAGCACAGCACAGCAGCTGAGGGGAGTGACAGAACGAGCCAGACATCACTGCACACTTCTATGCTCTAGTCCAGCTGAGCTGTGAGAGGTAAGGAATACCTTTGCTGGGAAGTTTTGGGCTTTTAAACACCCCTTCTGCTGGGTCTGGTCCTTAAGGGCTCCAAAAAATGGAGAAGGAGAGTTGCAAATTGAACATCATCTCAAGTGACACAGGTAAAACCAGGCCTTTACCTCTTTGTCTTGGCTCTTGTCAACTCAACAACTTGTCCCAGTTGCCAAGACCACCACGGATAGATTGGGCTGGTAATAAGTAAAGGAAACATGAATTGCTGCTTCCCACAGCAGCGAGGTGTTCCTTGGCTCTCACCCAGCACACAGAGCTCCATCTAAGCAGGTGTTTTAAACTGGGGGAAATGGAGCAACAGAAAGATTGGCTGCTACAGCTGAGCACCAGGGGAGCAGCAGGACACTCCTCACACAGCTGGGGTACCTGGCCAGGCCTCCTCGGGGGTTACAGGGCAGCATCCCACTGCAAAGGAGTTCAAGCATTAGCTACTGTCCCATAGCCTTTCTTGCAGCCCTCTTCAGTGAGTTGTCTTTGATGCATTGCCATCATCCATGTAAACCCCCACTGCCTCTGCAGCCTGCCACGGAGCAGTGGCCCCAAAAACACAGGGGCAAAGGGTGGGTGGGGTTTTGGAGGTGGAGAAATCCACCCCGTCCCCTGCTGTGCTGCCGTACTGATTCATTTTACTGGAAATAAAAATCAGGTGAAATAACATTTGGCTACTTTCTTCTTTGCCCACAAACTCCAGTGTCAGGGGAACGATGAAAACTGGGAAAATATTCCTATTTTTACAGCTCAGTTCAAACACCAACCTGGACTCTTTCTGTGCTCCTGGCAGTGGACTTGCTCTTCCGTGAGCTCGACATGCTCAGCGGCAGAAGTCCAAACCTTAAGAAATGGAAGAAAGAAATGTGGGAAGCAGTGATTGCAGAGCAGCTTCCCAGAGGCAGCAGAATGCCTGGAAGAGCCGGGTGCCTCACCTGATCTGGCTGGATGCTAAGGGCAGGATGTTGTGGAGCTCCTGCGAGCTCACTGTGCCGCCCCTGCTCGTGTACTGGTTCTCTGTCCCAGTCAGCAGGCCAAAGAGAACCTGGAAGGCACCAGAAGATGCTTGGATTTGGGGAAGAGAAGCTCAAAGGCACCAGGATTTGGGGAAGAAAAGCTGGAAGGCACCAGGAGCTGCTTAGATTTGGGGTTCCTGCAGAGCTGACCCCACAGTACGTGGTAAGTCCACTGGCACACCATCACCACTGAGTGTGAACACAAAATGTCTCCCTTCCCCCTCTGAACTCTGGTGTTTAATTATTCCCACAGTTGAGTCCCAGAGCTGTTTCAGCACTACTTAACCCAATTAGTGTTGCACAGGCTCTGGTGAATCCTGTTAGATAAAGTTCAGGCAGCTCCACATGCAGGGTGTGCAGCCGGCTCAGCCAGCTCCTCTTATCTTCAGCTGGCACTGAACATTCTTCCCCTTCCCAAGCAAGTGCCAGTGCTTATCTTGAGGCATTGAGCAGTTTAAAGGAGCCCAGCTGCCCTGCTGAAGGCTCTCTGCAGTCTCCCTGCTCCCTACCGAGGTTCTCTGCACCAGGCGGTTCAGGTTGCTGTTCAGGTGAGGGGTGAACACATCCAGGTCGAAGGGGTCGATGTGTCCCTCCAGGAAGTCGATGACCTTCTCAGTCCTGCAGGCAGAGCAGAGGGCTCCTGTCAGGGGTGACATCCTGGTGATGCCAGCTCTGAAGCAGCCAGGGATTTCCTGTCTGCAGTGACTGAGCACAACAGGAATTACTCAGCAGAACAGCAGCTGCCCCACGGGTTTCCAACTCTTACACAACCCCAGCAGCAGGAACCTGCTCCCCGTGGTACCCCCAAGGCTTTAACTCTTGGCTGGAAGCTCAACTGCTCTGTCCAGGGGCACCCTCTGAGGGGGGATCCTATGCACACACAAGGAAGGGGGACACAGAACCCCACCCCTCCCCTGTCTGAGGGTGAACTCAAGTGTTTGAGCAGTGTCAGACCTTGGAGCTTGCACTGTTTTCGGGCCCCCAAAACACTGCTGGAGGATGTATACCCCAGAACGCGCCATACCTGGAGTCCTGCTTGAACCTGCTGGGTTTTGTGTCCTCACTCTTGGCTGTCAGGATGATGCTGAGGTACCTCAGGTCGTAGAGTAACTGCAGAGCCCTGCTCTGGGTCAGGGGGAAGCTGTCCGGCCTCTGCAAACAGGACAGGCAGGATTGGGGCTCCGCCCTGGCACAGGGAAGGCTGCCCAAGGGGCACACCAACCCCAAGGCACAACCAGAGTGTGACATCTGGTGTCTGCCTCAGCTGTGGGGGAGGCAGGGTGAGTGTAAGGGTGTCCCCTCTCCAGCTGTCAGGACATTTTCTGTCCCAGGTGCTGGATGTGTCCCTGCATTCCCAGCCACGCTCCCATCCCACACCCAGGTACCTTCTCCTGCTTCTGCTCCACCAGCTTTCCATAGGCAGCGAGCACCTCTGCCATGCAGCTCCTCAGCAGCTCCTGCAGGGTGACCTTGGGCAGGGTGTGCCCCCCAACCCTGTTCACCTCCTGGCACAGGCTGAACAGGAGGCACTGCACGTGCCACGAGGGCTGGCCAGGGGAAGAGAGTTTATTTGCAGTTGCTCTCTAAACTCCATTCCCTTCCACATCCCTTCAGAAGGCTGGTGGGAGCGTCCCACTTCCTCAGCAGCCACAAAGCTCTGCCCCTCAGCTTGGCTCAGGCATCTCACAGGGTCTGGGTTACTGACAGCCCCAGATTTTGGCTTACAGCAGCTCCCAAAGCCCCCAAAAGACTTTACCAGACACTGAGTGCAGTGAGAAGAGAACTGCTTATGCACCTTCTGTCAGCACAGACCCAGCTCTGCCCACCCACTCCCTGGGGCTGTTCCTCCCTCATCTCCTGGGCCTCCTGAATTCCCACCCAGCTGCTTTTCCCCTCAGATAACAGAGCTCACTGGGTAAGGCTCACTGCATTTCCCTGTCCAGTCCCTCCCGTGCTGTGCAAACACAGAACTCGCTCCAGACCTGGCCCTCCTCCCCCTGCCACCTGCTCTGTCCCTGTGACGTCCTTCCTGTGCCACCACCACACCCCTGGGAAGCCACACGTCTCAGTTCCCTTAGGATTCCACAGTCCCACTGTTGCAGCCCTGTCCTTCAGTGCATCCAACTTCCACTGAACCTCTCTCCTGGGACCTCTGTGTTTAAAACCAGGCCTAAGTCCTCCTTTGGCTCAGCTTTACAGGATCTGGGCCAACCCTACCCACAGAGATAAACAGTGACAATGACCTATTTCCTTCCTCTGACCTCTGTCCTCACGAGTACCTCAAAGAGCACCAGAGAGTGTTTGTCCTCTGCTGGTGACACCGAACACCCTCCCCAGCAGCCCAGCGAGGTTCTGGCAGCAGCGCTGGGCTCCTCCCTCAGGCTGCTGCTCATACCTGCACAGGCAGCCGGATCTTGGACGTCACGCTGCTCCCAGACTCGCTCTCCTCCTGGATTTCAATCTCCTCCCAGTTGGTGGCCGTGGCCAGGACGGAGCCGGCTGTGTCGAGCAGCAAGGTGTGGGTGAAGCACTGAACCAGGCCCTGGAGCACAACAGTGGAACTGATCACAGGACACTTCTAACAGGGCCAGGGCCAGCCAGCCCACCCTGCCTGTGCCTGCTGCATCCCTGCAGCTCCCAGAGTGAACCTGAGGGACAGCAGGGCACGGAGCCACCCCTCCCTGACCGGGCAGCAGCACAGGGAGCTCTGGGCAGCCCCAGCGAGGGAACCCTCCCCAAACCATCTC